GGGCCCGGGCTGGGCACGGCCGCGGGGACACCTCTTCCCGGGCTGGCACTTACCACACTTTGCAAAGCCTGCAGTGCCCGAGGTCTGGATGAGCCGATGTTCCTCGCGATGCTGAGACCTGCCACCTGGGCACGGTGCTCCAAAATTCACCTTCGGTTTTCTGTCTCAGCCAGGCAATAGATGGGGAAATCGAGACCTTCCCAGTGCTCTTGTCTTGGGCCAAGGGGAAACGTGGTGCTCTCATGGTCTCTGGAGAAAAAAATTTGGTTGCACTGTCTTTATCTTCCTTGGTCAGGGAGGAGGCAAGAGCAATATAGCACTGGGGTGTGTGACACAGCCAGGATCAGCTAAGAGGCACATCAGAAATGGCTCCATCTGCAAAGGGAGGACAGAGAGGTGGTCTTCTCTGTGGGCCTGCAAGATGACTTGCACAGGGGTTCCAGCACACTGTAACTTGGGATGTGAAGATATGGGTGCTCATACCCAGAAACATGTCTGTAGATGTCAAGGGATGCCATGCCCTGACAGGAGCAGAGCTGAATCCCCCCTGAGTTTGCCCTGCCAGCTGTGAGAAAGATGTGACCCTGGGCTTTTTGACAGTCTATTTCACTGGAGATAAAATCATGACAGAAACAAGTTTCAATAGAGGAACTTAGCCTGGAGGCAGCACTCAGCTCTTGTAGGGCTAGGGTAGAACAGGTCAGATCCTGTGGGCAGGAAAAGCTTAGAAGTAGGCAATGAAATTTGGCTTTGGCTCTGGCTCAGGTCTCCCTGGCACTCCCACAATTCTGTCTGTGCAGAGGGGACACCACCTGGATTGGACTAGGGTTTGGGGGAATGGTCCTTGGTTCCTTTTGAGGGCATGGTCAATGCAGAGAGGGCCCCAGTAAGGTAAGAGAGGGTGGGGAGGAATGGCAGTCTCAGACATTGTGCAGGGCAGTCCCGACTGGGAGATGTAAATGAAGCTCAGGCTAATTGCCTCTCCTCAAAGGAGTCCAGGTCCAGGGTGAAAGGGCTTGCAGACACCTTCAAAGAGAGCAGGAGGGCCGTGCTTTGAAGTTACCCAGAGGAGGAGGGTTATCTTGGGCTCTTGCGCATATCCTACGCAGGCGGTTTCCCTTGATGTGTCTGGCATGGCCAACATAAATGTCCCTACACCTAACACAGTAGCAACCAGCTTGCTTCGCTGCTGTCTGGCAGCTCTGATCTCACCACCCACATATACGGACTGCATCTCCAGTCCCACCACATCCCCTGGCCATTGCTCTGGGGGAAGCACTCACATCCTCAGGCAGTTTCCACTCAACATCTGGCAATTGTAATCCACTCTCCCATCTCCCAATGAAGACTGACTTGGTGGGGATCTCAGGCCAAAAGGAAGAGGTCAGCAAGGAGAAGGAGATGCATGGCATCGAGCCATTGAACAGGCAAGTCAGTCTGGACTCCAACAGGGAAGATGGCAGAGCCACTCTCATCCTGACCCTCACCCTCTGCAACGTGAGAAAGATTGAGCTCTCTAAGGCAGCCAAAGTCTTTGAGGTACAGACCTCACCATTCCCTTCCTCCACTGAACCCTTTCTTCTGTCCATGTTGCCTTCACCTCTCCCACTTTGCATGTCCCCCTCTCTCGCCCTTCTCCTGCTGCCTGCCTGACTCATGCCTCCACCTGCTTCCCCCTTTCTTACCGTCCCTGTTTTGCTACAGCTGCTCAGAGAGGTTGGCTGGCCTCTCCAGGTGAAGGAGAGTGCTCTGGAGGGAGGGAGTAACTGGACACAGTCATTTAGAAGAATCATCATTTTATGTAAGGCCTGTTTAGAGCAGATACCAATCTATTATTTCTTTCTAGGAGTTGTGGTGGCCAGCCATGACTGAACAACAGGCCAGCATTTCAAGCACTCAGATTGTGGGGGTGTTAGAAGCCAATGAATTTTCTCTGCATATTTGGCAGGAGATACAGAGAATACAAGAGCTGTAAACCATACAGGCATTATATATTCTGGGCACTTGAAGTATCCCTACCAGGTGCTCACTCTCATCTGTGAAAATGAATGACTCAAAAGAAAAGTATTATATTCGTTACTTATTTTTAATCGTTTGCAATTATTTAATGATTATGGTGTTATTGTACATCAATAGATTTGCTTTCATTCTGCCAGGGTCTTAAGAGTTGCCCAGCCACTCATTTGTTATTTCTGCACAGATGAAATGCTACAGCCAACAGCATCTCATCTTTCATCTCCATCTATCTCTACCTAATTCTACAGTGTTTAATCTTTAGCTCCACCTGTATTTTAGCTCCTTCTAAACTGGACATTATAAGGCTTCATTGCCTAGCATGCACTTCTTGTTAAGACCTCTTTTAATCATCTTTTAAAGACATTGTAAAAGTGTATCTAAACTTACCTGGATTTTCAGTCTTTGGAGAAGCTTCATCATATGAACATCTGGATCTTGCAGATGTTTGAAACTCAGATCCATCACTTGGAAACCAGACGAGCCAAAAAGCCCAAGAACTCTGCTGATGATCTTGACATTTTTGTTGAATGTGAAGTTCACAGTGCTGATGTTAGTATCCTTATCACCTCCTTAAAGAGAGTAGCAGAGGATGTGAAAACTAACAGAGAAGACAAAGGTAAGAAATGTATGCATCTGTTAGCGCTGTTTTGTTTGGTTTCGGAGTAACTTTTTTAGCATTAGCTTCATAATAGTGACTTAATTAGTCTGGAAAGCAGGTGAGTGGGAATTTATTTTTCTTCACTGCATGACGGTTTTCCCTGAATTGGGACCATTCCCACTAGTGTGGAAAGGGAGGCACTTCATCATAGCCACTGGAACTAAGGTGAGAAAAGTGTTCCAGCAAAAAGGGAGATAAGAAGGGTAGAGCAGCAAAACAAGAAGCTGAGGAGAAACTCCTCAGTGACAGGAAGATTGTGCGCTGAGAGCTGTGCAGAGAACTGACGGCTCTGAGGCGAACACAAACACTTGATGGGAATGCAATGATACGGCAGAGGGTCTGAATATTTCATTTGCTTGTAGTGTATTGTGTCGGTTTTGTTAAAGAAGCAGTAGCTGCCTGTTTATGGTGTCCACTGCCATCTGGGTCCAGTAATATTGTCTGTAGGTAGATTGGTCCTTCACTGAAAAAAGCTAAATGCAACCAGCTTGAAGAAGCTTCCAGAGTGCAAGAGGGAGAGAGGGTCAGCAGAAAGCCTGCAGGGTAGGCTGGGAGAACCAGGGGATGAGCTTTTCATAGAGAACAGACCCCCTGTTCTGGAGTAACAGAGCATCAGGCATTTTCCCAGGCACCTGGAAAGCTTGTTTGGAGGTTCTGCAGCTTCAAAGGTTGCACTTTAGGAACAGTATTTCACCTGGTAAAGTGCTGCAAGTGGCTACTCCACTGCCTGGGCTGTATTTGAGTCCCCATTCCTACCAGTCATCAGGATGGAAAGTGAGTTTGCCAGAGATATGCTGGTATTTTTCCTGTTTACAGGCGGGTAGGGGATCGGTGAGTACAACAAGCTGCTGGAGACATTTAATATAATCTTCAGGATGCCAGAAGTGCCCCTGATAGATGAGAAGGCTGAGAGTCCAGCTCATAGGTTGACTCCTCTGAATACAGAATTGCCATGAGGTTTCCCACACTTGACAAGGCCAGGCAGAAATCCCCAGGGCCCTTTTAGCTAATACAGTCCTGTCTGGACAGCTTTGGGTGTTGCTTGAAATTCACCTTCAGGCTAGTGATGAGAGGCAGTCCATGCCAAGCTGTTCTCAGGGACTTAGGGATATCAAAAGGGTATCTCTGTCATCAGGGAAACTGGAGAGCCAAAGAGGGTTTTGGAGCCGAAGAAGCATTTCTTTAGGATTTCCTTGGGACTTGAGAGGTTTGTGCTTAGAAGTAGCAGTTAGTTTCAGGTGTGCTGGGACTGGGATCTACGATAAAAACAAGGGACTGTTAAAAGAGGGTGTGTTTATCGTTAAAGCAGAGGACCATTAGGGACAAAATTTTCTTCACATTTTCCTTTTTCTTATGGTTTTGAACAGTAGTCATAAAAGTAATCAGGCTTATTTTGGATTTAATGATGCTAGAATTAATATACTTGGCATGCAAATGGCCAGAGTCTTTCTACGTTAGCTCAGACTTACACACAGCACTCCTTAGTTTGTAAAGAGTCTTTTCTGGGTGTTTCAGACCCCAGAATTCAACTGCCCTAATCAGTTCATTTGATTTCAAGATGAAAGGATCAGAGAGCTGGTATTTGTGGCCCATAGAGACACCTTAGGTGTAGGCACCAGCAAGAACTGGGGATTTGGAGGTTTTGGACTTAAAGCTCTTCATGGTTTTGGTGAATTCAGGAGTACTAAAGTGTCAGAGGACTTTCAGCTCACCTAGCCCCTAGGTCTAAGGTTGGCTAGTGGCCCATTTTGCTGGTATATCTAATTGAAAGTGACAGTGCATCTTATTGAAAGAGGCTAGCTGCAGCTTCACTTTCTAGTGGGGTTTGCAGATGCCTGTGAGAGCATATTGGTAACTAGGAGATATCTAAGTTGTATAAATATACTTACTGGTCAGCAATTATTTTACTGGGAAGATGCAAATATGTATATTCTGGATACCCCATCACCTAAGCTCCAGCTCCTGGATTAATCTATTTCCCACATGGACTTTTTATTCTTTTCTTCGGAGTTTTTAGGTGAGCCAGACAGGCCTTCCAGGCAGTATGCTGAAGGACAGTGATGGGCAATACCCTGCCCATAGTGGCTTTAACCCAAATTAATTTGGTACTCAGTTGAGAAAAGCAGTGGTTATCTCTGCTTCCATGAAGCAGAGACAGATGCAGCCAAACCGGCATCTGTCAGCACTATGCCTGTTTTATTGGCCAAGAGTTCTGCCATGGTCCTTTCTCACCTCTCCTTTAGCCTGTCTGCCCTCTCCCAGGACTCAGTGAGGGATAGGCAAGATGTGTATGGGGACGTACACTGGAAGACTTATGATCAGGTACAGGTTTTGAGGAGATATGGCCATAAATGGCAGGATAGACATCTTGCATGCAGAACCATTGGTACAGCCAAAGACAAAGGCTCAGCAAAAAAATTCTGGGGTGATGTAAGACATCTGTCACACTAGTATTTCTCCCTTCTTGTCACAGAATTGGCCATGTCTGCATGAAAGAACTGGAATTTCCCAACATCTGTGTGTATTTGTAGCCTTGTACCTTTGTGAACTGGCTGTGCCTGGATATAATAGGGCTAAAGCAAAATTTGCCATTCAGTACAGAGATGCCTGGTCTCTTGTCAAGTATGAAATTAAGGTGACCCCAAATGGACCTTTTCTGAACCGTAACACACTAAGTCTGATCACAGCATCAGTCTGACCTCAGAAAGCAGTATCAACTTTGTCTTTTTTCAGTATTTTTTTAATTCATTGGTTACAAATGCTGGCACTTAAATTAAAATAAGCACACTTTATTTTTATTTTAGTCATAGAATCATAGAATCGTTTAGGTTGGAAAAGACCTTTGAGATCCTCAAGTCCAACCATTAACCTAGCACTGCCAAATCCACCAGTAAACCATGTCCCTAAGCACCACGTCTATGCATCTTTTAAATACCTCCAGGGATGGTGACTCAACCTCTTCGCTGGGCAGCCTCTTACAATGCTTGACAACCCTTTTGGTGAAGAAGTTTTTCCTAATATCCGATCTAAACCTCCCCTGGTGCAACTTGAGGCCATTTCCTCTCGTCCTATTACTTGTCACTTGGGAGAAGAGACCGACAACCACTTCTCTACAACCTCTTTTCCCCAGAAAAGGTCCCCACTTCAAGGGAAGGAAACTGTTTGGAAATTCAGCTCATGATAGAATAATTTCATTGGGAAAAAAAAAAAAAAGAGCCAGAAGGAAAAAACTTGAAGTCAAAATACTTCTTGGCCTGTTTTGTTTCTAGAAATTTCATGTTTTCCTGTTAAAATATTGGTTTCACTTTTAAAGGTATGAAAATTTAAGACTACTTTTTAGACATGATCAAAATATTTTCTTAAATCCAAAATGTAGAAATAAATTTGTTTTGCTGTGTCAAACAGAATGTCTCATTTGGCCTAAAAGGAAATGATTTTGCTTTTAAAAATTGTTTCTACTAATTAAAACTGAGAGATTATCATTGCAAGTTAGTTTCAGTTCATTTTTCATTCAGTTTGCCAGTTTGGTTGGCAAACAAATTCAACTACTGACACGTAGATATGAATATTCTTAGATATTGATGAAAAGAAAGCTTGTAATCTTCAGCAAAATTTTTATTTTCTGTGTCTTTTAAAAATTACTTGATCCTATTTCATTTAACTCTTGCTGCTTTCTTTCCAGTGCCCTGGTTCCCCAGAAGAATCCAAGATCTGGACAAGTGTCACCATCTGATGACTAAGTATGATCCCAGTTTGGACCATGGTCACCCTGTAAGTTTGACATCACTGTTATTTTATTTTTAAAAAAGAAACTCTCTGTAGGAAGGAAAATTTCAGGAGTAAAAAAATACTCATGAAAGGACAGAAAAAATGAAGGATCAAATAAAGGCTGATCTTCAGTGGAATTAGGGACTATAGAATGGATAACTTAATAATGAGAAAAGCTTATGGGTCCTGATTCATCAAGGTGTGTATGATTAACATTAGACACATGTTGAAGTAATTTCTATTCAACATATTCTTTAGCATGAGTTTATATTTCACCATTTAGTTTAAAAACTCCTCTTGTTTATTATTTCACCCCTGATATATTTGAAATATGTCCACTTTGTACTAGCGGTCCACATATCAGTCAAATTCCCCAGCCTTCTGCTTTTTGTGTTTTCTATATTTTGACCTTTCAGATATTCCATATCTGTATTTTTAATTTTGCATATGCCAGGAATCTCATTCAAGTGCAGATATACAGAAGATGGTAATGAGGACAAGCAGCAAAGAGCTAGTCACTAATAAATACCAGATCCTCAGATCCCACAGAGGGGAGTATTATGCTTAAACTTGCAAAAATCATCTAGACAGAAAGTAAGATAAATACATGGCAGCACTGATTAATGGATATAATACCTGAACAGAGATTTAAATGTGACTGGAGAAGCTCAAAAGGTCTAGTGATTTCAGTTGAGGTAAGCATCTAAGTTTAAATAGGAAGCAAGTTGGAAAGATTATAATCCTAATTTACATCTGACTTTTCACAAGGTCTTTGGAGCCAGGATTTTGGCAGTATTTATTGATACTACTTTGCAAAATATTGTTAGAATGTTTGTGATGGGCTTTCCCTTGGATTCGGGCAGTAGGTCTTAGTTATGAGTGGGCCGCAAAAAGGGCTTTACTCATAACAGTTTTGTGTGTGTACTCTTAGCCTTGCCATAAGCAGAAACTCTAAGAGAAGGAAGAGGAAAAATGCACTGTAGAGTCCTGCTCTAGTGATGATAATAGTAAGGCAAAGTACTGGGAACAAAAAAAGAAACACTCGTTTCTCGTCGAAGTTTTCCAACTTTCGTACAGATGAGATATGAGTTAGGTACAGACAAATAAGGGACTCCAAAGGGCCATTTGCTGATTGACAAATAGGTCACAGAACTGTTGTGAAGTGTTCTGCCAAACATCACACAGAAGTGATGCATGAAAAGGAAAAAAAGCACAGACTTTGCACTGAAAAATGCAAGGAAGATTTAGATGCAAGTCAACAGAATCAACAAGATTTTGTCATTCCCTTTTCTAAATGTCTGAATTCTATTTAGACCCTTTTATTAACCTACACAATGTTAGTTTTGTTAGCTATGTACAGTTCTGTGTGGTACAGAAAAACTTTCCAAGACTAACTTCTATTTTTGAGAATCACTTATTAAACTATAATGCTCTAGGAGAACTTCATATCCTCCTTAATCAGGACATCTTTCGTTCTTCCTCACGTCTTTCTGATAGAAGCAATCCAAGTATTTGTCATTTTCCTGAGCTAGCTCTGAGGCTGTTTCTCACAAGATAAATGAATGCACGTTGGGAATTCTTTGAATTGGACTAAGTTCCCCACCTACTTTGCCAAATAGCAGGTATGAGCACTGAAGAGGATGAGAGAAAGCACCAATGGTGCAGAGCTACCGAAGTATCGAGTGGGTATAAATCTACACTGCAGAATGCGGTGCAATGTAGAAATACCTAAACTACCTTGAAACAAGTTAGCTCAGGCACTGAAAATCATTTGTCTGTGGCAGGAGGGAGCACAACGTGGGCTCATTTACTGTGCTGCTAAGCACGGCTCAAAAATGGACGGGTTGGAGGAAAGTACCAAATACACTGATGTACAGGTGGCTCAGCAGAGATTTTGCATATACATTTACTAGCAAATAGGCAATTTGGGCTGTCCATCTCAAGAGCTTCACTCTGTTCTTTACTGTCTCTTTAATGGCCAGACAAGCAAACCAATGACACTGTGACACCAGTCTCTGGGGCACCCTGACACTGGCTGTAGCAGTCCCCTGGGGAGGCTCCTACTGCTCGGAGGGTGGGTACAGAGCCCTGAGAACAGCAAGGACAAAGCTGAGAGGTCACAACATCAATGCTAATCTGGCCCGATGGCTTTTCCACGTGTTTTGCCTTGACTTGTTACAGCCACTGACAAGCAAGGGTGGCATCTGAATGAACACATTATCCGTAACACATGACAAAAATAAACATGCTTTCAGGATCCAGTTCTTTCCTCAGATTCACGCACACAATACTCATTAACTGCAGTGTTACTGGTATTATTGCTACACTGAAAATTATGTGAATAAACCTAAGGGAAAAATTTGGCTTGTAGTATGCAAAGTGGTTCCAGTAAATTCTGAATATTTTAGAATAATAAATATTTGTACAGTGATGCTGATCAACGCTGCTTTATGAGTTATATTAGTAACACAGTGCCAGACTGCAGATTTTATTCCTATTATGAATGATGTAAAATTCAAAGGAATTTGATTTCACATCTCTATTCATATTTAATAGCTGGAGAAGCCTGCTTGAAGCTCAACTTCTAGTAAACACCGAGGGAGGAAAAAGAAAACTCCGGTATTTAATAAGTAAACTGCCCCTTTAAACAGATACCACTGAATCCGTCTTTATCGTAACACAGTAATAAATGGGCAAGGGGGGATTGAGCTGAAAGCCTGTAATTTCTACAGATTCAGTGGTGGCTCTAATGATTTCTAGCCAGTGAGGACCCCTTCTTCTCCCGAAACGCAGGGTACTGTGCAGGCGCAGTGTACTTTCTCTGGCGAGGTGGTACCGTCATGTCCCTCACAGTCCTATATTGCAACCTTCATGCTTGCAGGAAAGAAATGATTCAGAGATTCAGCTCTTCCCCAGCAGAAGTGACACCCCTATTTCAATTCCATTTTTAATGTGATTTGCATTTAAATTTGACTGTAAGTGTAATGGTTTGTGATGTAGTATTTATGAACAACTCCAAAACCATCCCACCAAGCGATGTTACTCTCCTTTCTGGCCCCAAATTTTCATCAAAATGTCATGGATATAACTGAATGCAGGCTTTGGCTTACCCTGCTCATAAGTATTAAGATTCATTGCCTTAGAGAAAACAACCTATCTGAGGCCTAGTTATTCTGAATGTCAGCAAATTTATTTATGCCCACAAATGTCTCTTAATGTAAAACTTTTTTTGCATTATTTTCTAACTCAGGGATATGCCGACCTGGAGTATAAGAAACGGAGGGCATTCTTTGCTGACCTTGCCTTTAATTACAGAGCGTAAGTACAAGGCTGCTGAAGAGAGACTTCAGCAGTTCACATGCGCTTTCAGACGTCTTTGTGTGCAAGAAATACTGGAGACTTAATGTTTTGTCAATGTATCAATGGGGCTATCTTTTAGAAAACAGAATTCAGCCACAGAAGCTTTTACTCCATATGAAATAGACTTTTCCCACAACACAGCAAATATACCTTAAAATAAAAATCTTAGAATTGCATTCACATCTCCTTCAGCACTGCATTTTGTCTTAGCAGAGGTGATTTCTCCATATGGCTCTCACATTCCAATTTTGCGGTTCCTTTTAGGACTAGCTCCTGAGCTGAGGCTAATCTTTTTCAAGGAACTATATGGAACAATGTTTAGGAACATATTTTTGACAAAGAAAAGCAATTTACTATTTTTGTTGTTTGTTTGACAAAATGTCTCTAGCCATGTATATTAGCTACCTAAAAACTTCTCAGGTCTCGTGTGGGTGAGTGAAAATGTTTCTGCCAGAATCACACTGCTGTCTGACAGAGTCAATCAGATGTATAGGTAGAACTGGTTGTGGATTATCAGCCTTGTGGTGTCCAAGAACTGGTGAAATCTCCCATGTCTTGAGAGACTTCTTTTTGAGTACAGTTTTCTCACCACCACCATATATCACAGCTAGTGCAGCACAAAACAGTATAAAAGCACACAGTGAACTGACCCAGAGCTACTGAAGAGGCAACGGTGAGGAAGAGAAGACCGCCCATCAGAGAAGTTAGTGATAGCCATGCAATGTATGCCTGAGCAGCTCTCCGCTGATGAGTTTATGAATCCTTCTCTGTGATGATACTGTGCTGGTCACATCCTCCAGGGATGGACCCTCCAGGCACACACTGCATTTTGGTTGATAGATTGCCTTCAGGTAAGGGTAAGCCTGAAGGCCTCTTTTTTTTTTCTGTAAAGAAGAACATGGCTCCCTTTCTTACCATATCCCTCTGTTTCCTCCCCGCACTGGAACAGAAGAGAAAATGCACACGTTAGAGAGTACCAAGACAAAGAAGTTGTTAATTATGTACTATTTTGCTGTTTCTATCTTCATTACAGCAAATATTCATGCTGCAGGCAAAGAAAATAATACTTGGAAACTGAACTTGAAACCTGCTTTAGACACATGCATTATTTGCTTTCTTCGTTACAGAGGAGACCCTTTGCCACGCATCGAGTACACAGCGCAGGAGACTGCAACTTGGTGAGTTTGTTACTTATACTCTGACTCCTGGGCCATTCCACTGCAGTCCCAGGAAAGACTGGCAATGTGAGAGTTATAACATTTTAAAACCATATTTATCCATCTCAAATTTTACTTCTTGGTTGTGTCACCTTTTTGGTCATTTGTTTTGCAGAAAGCCCTTCTCAGGGCTGGTCTTAACTATTCACTTTCTAGAGCAAAATGCAATTACCATCTCCCTGCCTGCCAATCATATCAAGATATCAGAAGCCAGAAAACATCTGGAGCCTATAACATAACTTCTTTTAACTGACCTCTAATTAACCATAGCTCTGGTGGTGACAGAAATATCACCTTTCTGAATCTGTTACCAGGAGAAAATGCCCACTCGCGAGATAGAAGTTCACTCATAGGATGTGGCTATTCCAATGTTCATAGGACAGACCAACCTTGCTTGTTCTCCTGCAAGTATTCATTGCTTTTAACAGGAATAGGTATCATTCTCTCAAACTGAAGGTAAAAGAAATTTTGGAGTGCCCTTCCAGGATCTATTATTTACACTGTAAAAAGGCCTTTGATGTCACATGAAATGATGGCAAGTTACTTTTACATGGGTGCACCATTTCTTCGCTGGGGCTTTGTTTCTCCTGAAGATTTGCCACTTTAAAAAACAAACAAACAAACCAAAACAAAGAACCCCAAATAAGCAAATTTAATTCAATTCAAAGTATGTTTGCAGACTTTATGTGAAGTATGTGGCAGATTTGAAAGAAAGCAGAGTTCTTATTTCATATACCTCTGTTTCCACTTTCTCCCACTAACTTTAACCAACCTCAGTAAGCAGCAATAATTACACATTTGTGTGATAATACAAACATAAATATGTCCAAATGTCCCAACTAAGAGCAGAGTACCAGGATTGTGCAAGGTGCCACATGTGCACATAATAAGAGAGAGTCTTTGTTCAGAAAAGTTTACAATTTAAATGGAAAGACAGCCTAAAGGTGGGAAAAAGGAAGAATTATGACATTTTATAACTGTGGAAGTGAAAAAGCTAGAGCTTAAGTGATTTGCCCAAAAATATACACAAAGTTTATGTCAATGCCAGCAATTAAATCCATACCCTTGATGTCTCATGCCAGAACCTCAACCACAGGGCCATCCCATCTTTTTCAGTGATTATTTTATTTGAAATAAAATTTACGGTGCCATAGAAAGCTTGAGGGGTGTTGCCCACAATCACATAGAAACCTTGCATCCAACTCATCCAGGCGGTCACATTTTTATTAAGCTCAAGTAGGTTTTTATAATATCTTCCAATTGTCAAAGATTGATGGTCGGTGTCATGCTCATGGTTGCTACCACCAGCCAACAATCTTGGCATGGGATGGTGTGTGGGAATGTCAGTTTAAGAAAATTTAATTTTGTGTTCTTTCCTGTTTTTCCCTTTTGTTGCCAACCTCCGTCATTCCAGCCCTTCTCCACCTAGAATTAGTCCCACTGTGGTAACGGAATAGACCTTTAAAGGAGTATCTGCCCATTTCCCTAGCCAGCCAGCCCCAGCAACCCAGGTTGTCTTGTTATGTAAAGCTGTTTCCAAAATTAGACCTCCCAATGGTTATCACAGCCCCCTGGGGCTGTGCCCTGAGGTCAGCTGCATTACAGCACAACTTAATTGAGCACTGTGCAATTGAACGGGAAATTTGTAGCACAGACTAAATTCCCTTGGTGTTCACTCTGAAGAGTTGTTGGATGCCTTCAGTTTGTAGCAACATGGTTATAAAAATGAAAACTAATCAAGTGAAGAAACATGACTTTCAGAAAACAGAGGGTACAGATGATCTGAGTTTCTGTTTTCAAGCAGGGTTCTTGGAAGGCCCTGAAACTAAGTAGTCATAAAAGACATTTTATGGGTAAAAGCTATATAAGAAAAAAGGAGAATAGAGGACAAAATTATGGGGATACACCTGTCAAATCTTCATAATAAAGCCGAATACCGCCACTTTTTTCTAAAAGAATAAGGAAATTTATGTAAAATATTGTCATTGTCTTTAAAGTCTTCCAAGTGGCTGGCTCCACCCTTCATTATGAGGTTCCTTTCTAGAGTATTTCATAGACCGCACTTTCATCAGCTTCTTTCCATCTCTGGACTGAAGTACCACCAAGTAGCACCTCCATACAGTGAGGCATTACATGTGTTTGAGACACTACATTAGGGCAAGCTAAGTTGTTGTCTGGAAATATCTGCTACTCTATTGACTTTGGAGTGAACTTAAATGATTGCCTAGAGGTACTTAGAGAGGAGGGACACTTAGCTTCAGATAATTCATCACTAGTCTCTGAGACTGCCTACATTTCTGTGGTAGTCAATGTTTGAACACACAGTAGAATGATACTTTGATAAAAGAGACCATATGTGCAGAAGTGTAAACAAGCCTGCTCTCTCTAGACTCCAGTCTGGGGATGAATTGTGTACTGGTTCAGGTCCTTTGCAATCCCACTGAAGTCAGTAGTATTCTGTGGGGAAATAAGCCAGGGCAACACTTGAACTCCAGTCCTCCTCATTTTTTCCTAATTCTTCTATGGAAATGGCCCAGTCTCCTGTGGCTTTTGCAATAGTGACAGCAGCCACTGTTTCCCTCTGTTCTTTTAATTTTTTTTCCTCCTAAGGTTTTCCTCCCTCCCCTTCATTCTGGTTCATTACTCCCACACTGTGTAAGACATTCATACAAATGAAGAGAGCCATTACCAGGGACTGGCTATCACCTCCATAGCAACAATAGCATCACAAAAAAAATACAATACAAAAACAACAAAAGGTCATTTTCTGTAGCCAGCATTTCCAAGAATGATCTCAATTTTTATAAAACAATCTTTATAAAATTGTTAACACCCTAGGGCCATGTCTGAACAAAAATAACTATTTCTATAAGGTTCTTTGCCATCCTATTACTACTTGTTTATTTTGCAACAGCTAAATATATTCCAAACCACAGCTCTAAATCCAAGCACCATCAAGTTTGGGAGAAGCTTGAAGCCTGTGCCCAAATCTGGTTGTATATATTTTTATTCAGCTGGTGTCTTTTCATATAACGGGCTAAATGCTTCAAGAATTTGGCATGTCTTTCAAATACACAGCCCATGCCAGGCATTTTGAGCAAAAGTATGAACCTCTTTGCCTATCCAGATGTTACTCTTCAGTATCAGAAAATGTGCTTTTTTAGGAGGAAGTTTGTAAGAGTCAAATATAGGCTAGGCTTCAGCATGGAGGCCTTTCAAGTTGTACCCCAACATAGAGAGGGAGGCAATACGTGACTGTCGTGGTTTAACCCCACGAGCCGCTCACTCACCCCCCCTCCGGTGGGATGGGGGAGAGAATCGGGAGGGCCCAAGTAGGAAAACTCCCGGGTTGAGATAAAACAGTTTAATAATTGAAATAAACAAAATAGAACAGTAATAGTAACAGTGAGGACAACAACAATAACAGAATATACAAAGCAGGCGATGCACAATGCAACTGCTCACCGACCACCGACCGCGGGCCGCGCACCCCCCCCCCCCCGTTTTTATACTGAGCATGATGTCACATGGTATAGAATCCCCCATTGGCCAGCTGGGTCCACCACCCCGGCTGTGCTCCCCCCGCCCCGTGTGAGCATCACCCAGCAACAGCCAAAGCATCAATGGGCCATCAACGCTCCTTTCATACCAAACCCAAAACACAGCACAGCCCCCAAACTACTGGGAAGAAAGTTAACTCTGTCCCAGCCGGAACCAGGACAGTGACTCATTCCATCCCTGAACTGCGCAACATAGAGAGGGCCACAGCCTCAGCTTTCTCCCTGGGATTTCCCTGGTACATCCAACACCCTTATACCTAAGCAAGAAACACTTCTGAATCAGGATTAGAATCCTATTACATTAAAGGAGGACATAGGAAGGGATAAAACAGATTCGCTGAACGGAACCCACCTTCTGAAGGAAAAGTGAAACAAAAACCCCTTGTGCTTTGCTACACCCACCAAGGCATCAGCTTCCAAGCACCAGCTGTCCTGAGTTCAGATTTTTAGACTGTTCCTGTGCTGGAGGTCTATGCCTCTCTGTGGACCTGTAGATAGGGCAGATAAGTACTGCTTTATGGAGGTGGGTCATGCTATATGGCTTTTGCTTTTCAGGAGAGAAGTCTACAGGAAGCTGAGCAGCCTTTACCCTACTCATGCCTGTACGCAGTACCTGGACGCTTTCCAGCAGCTGGAGAAATACTGTGGCTACCAAGAGGATAACATACCTCAACTTCAGGATGTCTCCAGATTTTTAAAAGGTCAGTCATTATGAACCATGGCTTATTCTAGGGTTCCCTGCATATGTTTGTACACCACATACACACACAAACCATCTCATAGAACCCAAGCTGGTAGGAGAGCTGATTAGCTGTAGAGTTCCCTCATGCAAGATGAGCTGTAGCACAAAGCATTAAAACCAGGCGTATCTAGGGACCAAGCTGTAAGTAAGTTTGTGTTTGCTCTGTGAGTGGCTGCAGTTGGTGTAGCACTAACCAGCTAACTCCAGTACTAGCAGCAGTAGAGTCACAGCAGCACACTGCTCAGCATGACTTCCACACAGGTTTTCTATGGGTTCGGCTGTATTTTATGCATCTATAGCTATGCTGCTAATAAGACCCAAACACAAATGCAGATACCTACGTCCCAAGTCCACTTTTTTCTGATGCGTGAGACAGGATGGCAATGTGTGCTAGAGGAAATGATTTCCAGGAGGTCCTGCTAGTCAGTCAGCAGTTGCCTTGAAACAACACTGCTTCTTTCTGTCTCTGTGGCCCCACTTGCCACATTAAACTCTTTGGTACCTACCGTGTGGCTGACAGGAGAGCAGAAAGGCTGTGGTGCTAGTCTGTAAATGCATGAAGATGTAGCCTTAGATGAAAGGACACATAAGATTGCTAGGTTGACTTACCTGCTGTTAGCTGGGGGCTGACTAGCAAGAGGCAGGAGTGGAAGGGAGCTTGCATCATTTTTATGAGGATGCATGGAATCCCAAGGCCAGGTGCTTTGTGTCAACCAGTTGATTTCCTACCATTATCAAGAATGACTAAAGAAAGGTGGTCTTTAAAGCCTCCTTGCTCCTTCTCAGTGACAAGGAGATGTGCCAGAGAGAGGACAGCTGATCACTATGATGAAATAAATAATAAAAAGTATGGCTTAACTTTAAATAAATTCAATTTAAATACAATATTCAGGAAATCAAGTGACCTGCTCCATGTATCAGTAGGTGAAGCTAGTAAGCTTGAATAAGCTTTCTGTTGCTGAAGAGTTTTCTAAGACATTGCCGTTTTTAGGGAAGATTAAGATGTTCAATGACAAAGTTTTTACTGCACCTGTAGTGTAAGGGAATGGAGGGTTGGCATATGAAAAGCATCTCTCATGAGCACCATCACATCCAGTGGTAGGAATTTTTCTGTGTATGCATTAAGTATTTTCTCATGCATTTTCCCCTCTATTCAACTATCCATCTTACCTCTCTCCTACAGTAACTGGGCTGGTAAATATTTTTTCTTATTAAGTAGTTGATCTCATCTTATCTCATTTACACAGTAGCTGACAGCAGGGAGCTCCAGAAATCCTGTGATGCTGATCTGATTACCACAGATATTAATATTCTTTAAGTGAATCAGGTGATTTCAAAGTGGGAGAATTTAGGATAATGTAAGAATATCCCGTCATAACACTATTTGTATTGCTTATGTTGGTTGACAGGATTTGACTGCCTGGAGTCTGGGCCTGCTCACTTCTTTTGTAGGCTCTGGTTCTGAATTTTCTCTATGCCATACAAATTGTCCTAAGCAAAAAAAAAAAAAAAAAGCAATAAAAATAGTAATTCTGAAAATTCTGCTAATAACTGTTGGGAAAATGTTCACAGTGAGTTTCAACTCATCTACTATAAACACGGGGTGTCTAGTGTAAGCTAATTGTTGAAACTATTCTGACTGGGAATGAGAATCAGGCACTTCAGAGGCATTTTACTCCATTCTGGAATGGGTGTTTAAGGAAAATGGAAAGAATGGCTCTCAGAAGCACTGTCTTACCCTTCTTAAACTGTAGATAAAACCTGGATTAGTTTAGCCTACAGGCTTTGTAAAAGATTATGCATAGATGGAACAAAGTTTGTTCAAAAGAACTGTGTTTACAGCTAAACACAATGGAGATTGAGTAAGCTATTTTAGTCCCATTATATGGGGCTTTGAACTGATATCTTACTTATCTTCAAAGATTCCCTCCAATAAGGTCATTTCACTATGCAGAGTACTTTCTAGAATAGCATGAAGATTGACATTATTGTAAGGTCCCTTTGTAACAAACTCAGTCTGAGTCAGAAGCATCTGCAAGGTCTGTAAAATCTGTGTTAAAAACAGCCTCATGCCAAGCAGCCACTGGGTGAGGAGTATGATTTATAAGGAGTTCTTCTGATTTATTACTAATTTGGGTGGCTTTTACCACCAGCCTCAACAAGGCCAGAATTTTTGCTCCTTACAACTGATCAATCAACTGCGTACTTAGGCTCTTTCCTGTGTTACGTGTGCAGTGCTCAACCAACCAGACCTTAACCAAACTACAGGCTGTGATGTGTCTCCCAAAATTCCTTGGCATGCAATGGATGTATTTCAACTACAGCCTATGTGGAGATGCATAGTGCAGTTCCTCCTGTCACTGATTAGCTCTGGGTAAGCCCCGAACTGTCCCACTCTCCCATTTAAAACATAAATCCCAGCGTGTATCTTTGCTAAATACTGCCCCTAAGGACCGGACCATTCTTTGGCATACGTGGTGATAAGACTTTATATAGAATAGAATAGAATAGAATAGAGTAGAGTAGAGTCGAGTAGAGTAGAGTAGACTATTTCAGTTGGAAGGGACCTACAATGATTATCTAGTCCAACTGCCTGACCAATTTAGGGCTGACCAAAAGTTAAAGCATGTTATTAAGGGCATTGTCCAAATGCCTCTTAACCACTGACAGGCTTGGGGCATTGACTGCTTCTCTAGGAAGCTTGTCCCAGTGTTTGACCACCCTCTCAGTCAAGAAATGCTTCCTAATGTCCAGTCTAAACCTCCCCTGGAGCAGCTTTGAATATAATAAACTATGGGGATACAGAGAGAGAGAGGGATATCCTGGAGAGAAAGTGATCATGTTATAACCAGCCCACACAGCTAGAGAAAATTCCATCTTCTCTTTTACTCAACAGTATCTGTGAACTCAACCAAGCAATTCCTTTTGACTTCAATACAAGTCGAACCACAAGATCTGTCTAGTGTTACCTGGCCTGCTAGTGAGATTTTGAACAGAAATGAACTCTACATCATAAGTAATTCATAATTACTTAAAGGGAATTTAAATGGTTAACCATGTGACCGGTTAACATGGCAAGTATTTTTCTAAAGGGTTAACTACATGAACCTAGGCACATTTTTCTTTCTAGGAAAGATGTTTGGATTTAGACATTCATTGTCCTCCACAGCTGGAAGAAATTACAGCCAGTGAACTCAAGCAAGCTCACACTACAACGCACAGGCCTGTATACATGAGGTTTTTAGGCCAAGCGTTAAGCCTTACAGATCACTTTAGGTCAACTGCTCAAGACCTTCTCTTCAACTCATTTTGATTTCAGAGATCTTTGGGCAGCAGGTCCAATCAGCCACACCCCCAATTCTCTAGTTTGCTTGCTAGTTTTATTGTGCAGTAATGAAATAGAAGTTCAGATTTTGCAGATATTGCCTTCAGCAGATAACTTTTTCCTATGGCTTTTCGAGGCAACTGGCCAAGTCTGTTCCATCAGCAGACTGTCTGATTCACTGGCCTATATTTAAAAGGGCATCTCAGGGAACATAAGCTGTAATTTTCATTTTCCCTCCAGCTCCTCCAACATGGATGCTAAAGCAATATAAATTTCTCTAGACTCTTTCATAGTCCTTCCAAAACTGAGTTACTTAGGGCTTGGTTCTCGTCTAATATATTTTTCAGCTGGTGCAGTTTTCACTTCACTCAGACTCAGAATTTAGCCCAGAGATGGCCAGATTATGAGATTTTCACATTCCTCTGGATTGACTTAGTATGGCATCAGCAGCAAGGGAGTACCCTTCTTGTGCCAGCTCATGGCCAGTGCCTAAGGAAACATAGCTGATGGTCTGTCTATTCCCCCAAACATCCTGCTTTCTTAACTGGGGAGCGGGGGAGAATAGTAAGCTGCTTTACAACCACTTCTGATTCCCTGGTTAACTCTGATGCCTTTGCTCAGCATATAGACAAAGATAAAGACACAATCTCCATAGGTTTTTTGCTGTTGTTCAGCTTTGAGGCAGTTCTGTACCCATTACTTTTTAATTCAGTGGAGCAATAGAAGATAACCATGGCGAATGCTAACCACCTAGTCCCTCACATTGTCAGGTAGAAGCATTCCTTGCTGTCCACTCTTTTTTGTCCTGTATAACTTCAGATGTTTTGTCAATTCTAATTCTTCCAGTGGAGCCTTTTTTTTTGTCTTTTCTTTTCTCTGTCTCTCTTTTTTTTTTTTTTTTTTTTTAATGAGAAAAGTGCTAATAGCCAGACAGAGCAAGACAAGAAACGCTGGAAGAAACATTAAAAACCAAACCAAACCAAATCTTGTAAATGGCTTGGTTTCTGGGTGGGATTTTTTTTGTTTGTTTACATAAAATAAATTAGGTTCCAGGCTTCATGACACAATAGAATATGGATAGAGAAGGGAGAATAAAGCAATTTCTGAATTTTTTTAAAGTGTAGTTTTATGCTTTAAAGAAGATGAAATGTCATTTATGGGAGCTGAGAATGCAACACAGATTTTGAATATAGGACTTCAAAAAGATTATCATTGGCTCCCTTTTAAAGCAGCGATTTTCAATTTTCTTAGCCTTGCAGACCACCAACATGTTTCCCATGGAAATGTAGATTTTGTATTCTGCTGACCGTAGGACTGGTTATTTTGTTAGCTGTCTCTCACAGACCTTTCATAGTAGTGCAGGATGTACTGGGGTAAAACTGATAGCACAATCTGAAATCACGGTGCAAAAGTATTGCATTCTTCTGTCCTGTTCTATGGACACATGCGAAGCAAAATACGTATGATCACATCCCTGGGAGGCTATGTAGTTAGTTCTATACAAACATAATGGTGAAAAAAAACAGAGGGGAAAAATAGGTGAGAGCACTGATGGGAATTCTGGTGTTAAATGGTTGAGGGCCAAATTCCAGCACCCTTATCTCTGATGAGGACCTGTTTGCTCTTTCTCCTGCGTGTTCCCATTCTAAGGAAGTTCAGGCAGAAACATAAAATTGATAGCAAGTTTTACAGTGCTGAGCTAGTTTATACATGTGGAGCACACACTAACAAAGGGAAATGAAGTTGAATAGTATGCTCCAATTCTACCTCTGGGGTATGTTGAACTAGGCCTATTGAGGAACAGAAGAATTGCCCAGACTGGAGCAGACCCATGGTCCACCTACTTCTGTCTTCAACAGTGCAAGCTACCAGGGGTTTCAGTGCAGGGAATAAGAAAGCCTGAAGAAGGGGGCTAAACAGTAACCGAGCACCAGGGAAGAGCCAGGTGCTCTGAGACAAGGGTAGGGGTGGGACATGTCCCATATCTAACTCCTGTTTTCCTTTTACATATGTTATACAGGAAATGAGAGAGGTAATCCAAGAGTTAATAGACTAGCCAGGACTGAAAATGCAGGTTCTGTCCCCTGCTTGATCATAAGGACCATATGTGACCTCAGACACATCACTGACATGCGGGACATAGTAGATAAATGTGTGTAAATGTGCTAAAAATGTAAACTGGGGTAAGCAGTACTCCCATACCTCATATCATTGCTGTGTGAATATGTGTAGAATAGATGGCTAGGTGGTTTGATGTTGCAGTAATTGGACCCATAGCAGTACAGGGGCATGTCAATAATGATAAGCCAGGATGTTCCTACTATGCTTAGGTGGAGGGAGCTACTGCAACAGAGTATGAAGGTCCTCTGAAACTGCTTACCTGAAGTAAGTGTGCCATGTAGTTAACGCTAGAAATGCCTAAATTTGGTCTCACTTTCCTTTGCAGAGAGAACAGGTTTCCAGCTGAGACCAGCTGCAGGACTGCTGTCTGCTCGTGACTTCCTCGCCAGCCTGGCATTTCGTGTCTTCCAGAGCACACAGTATATACGGCATTTCTCTTCTCCTATGCATTCCCCAGAACCGTAAGTTTGATGCCCTGGCACAATCCTGGCCTTCTGAATGTGTTGGGGATGATTCTCTTGGGAACGGCTCTGGAGCTCTATCCAGTAGTCCACAGAATGAAACAATTTGAGAAACTGGTAGCTGAAGAGTTAGAAGGGGAAGTCATGCATGAGAGGGTGTGGGTCTCTCTCTTGCAAAGTCGTCTGGGGAAGGAAAAGACCGGAGAATATCTGGTTTAATCTTTTCATCCTGCCTTCAGTTACCATCTGCTGGGGTTTGATTCCCTGCTGTGAAACTCTCCCAGTAAGTGCTGGCCAGACAACAGCAATTACATTTCATGAGAAATTACAAGTTCGCACAGACGCTTTTGTTGTATGCTGGGACAAAACAGGGGCCTTTCAAAGATGTTGTGACATAGGAGACTAGTGCCCGTGCCATCCCAAGTGAGACAATAGCCAAGGTAGCGGGGGGCAGCTGGCTCCCCATGGCAGAAGGGAATGCTCTGTCACGCTCCCTGCAGAGCCAGGCCAGGTATGGAGGCAGCTACTGCAGAGCAGCCCTCACACTAGCTCCTTTTGGGGGTCTCTCTATCTGCTAAAGTCATTCATGAGAAGTTCATGTAGGGCAGGAAAAGAAACCTTTATTAAACATGAAGGTCACTTGTTTTCCAGAGACTGCTGCCATGAGTTGTTGGGTCATGTTCCCATGTTAGCTGACAAGGAGTTTGCCCAGTTCTCACAGGTAAGAAGCTTATTCTGCTGGCTGTTTAACCAACTGCTCTGGATAGCAGGCCAGATGTGCCTCAAAGGCATGCAGCTCACCGTGCTTGAAATGCTATTTTAAGACTTGATTGTGCCTGAGTCGCAACCTCCAGGGGTGGTGGGATAGCAGTGCCCTGGGAGACATTTACTCCAAGGGAGTGGTAGCACTGCTCCCTATGGACATCGTGTAAAAGGAAGGGCAGGCAGGCAGTGCTTGTGGGACTTCTCTGTGGGAGGGCCATGTCAGTCCGCAGAAGGATGCCAGTGAAGCCTCTGTGGTGCTGTGTGTTTGAGTTGTACTGACTACGCTGTTCCCTGGCTTCCTGTCCTACACCACATGAACCTAACCAGCAACAGCCATCGAGCCCCCAGGCTGGTTCTGTCTCTGGATGTACATTTTTATCTCACATGATACTTTAATTGTGTCCATCACCATGTCATTCATTAGAGTTGTTTTTCCTTTTACAACTCACCAGATTCTCACAGCATTGCTCACACTGGTGAGGAGGCTCCAAAAAGCAAACAGGGATTCTTTGTACAATAAGGGGCTATTTACTATGAACAGTCAGTGTCAGACCCAAGTGAACTCAATGACCTCACATAATTAAAGACTTCAGAACTATGAATGTGCCTCAAAATCGTAGCAGAGGGCAGAAAATAACTCATATTCTCGGCTTATCAATCAGTGGCCAGTGTGGAAACTGTCAATAAGAGCAGAGGGGTTACATGATGTAGGTCCCTGTCAGAATATCTTAAAAAAAAAAAGCCAGTTCACCTCATATAATGTGGTTTATGGTTGTTATCAACTTGGATACATGCCAGTTTCCATTTTGGCCATAAATATTGGTTATTATCAGATTCAGATGAGTAGTACTTAACATATCCTAGTGGTCTATAACTTATTTTGGAAGAAACCTCTTCAGTTCAGTTCAATACCAGAACTGAAGGCAAATTAGAAATAAGAGATTATAGCAATTTCAAAACTTTCAGCTTTCCTCTTTTCCCATCTATAACACAGACTATACAACATGGGATCACATTAAATGAACTTTCACATTTCATTTTTTTTTTTCACAAAGTATTTTCACAGTTGAAATTCACTCCATGAAAATTCTCTTTTGTTCCATTCAACATGAGACGATGAATGGTGAAAATGCCCTAATTTTGTTTGTTTGCTGCATGATATGGCTCCCAGGATAGCTAAGAAGAGACATAGAGATTGCTATTGTGAGAAGAATAATTAACGGGGAGCACAGATGAGAGTAAATAGAATCCTCCCTGCATGGATCTGACCCACTCATAAGGGCTGTCAGAAACAGAGTGAGAGACAGAAAGGTAATGGCAAAGATAAAACCCACCTTGCTGTCCGTCCTTCTCATGCCTCCCTATAAATCTCTGCTAGGGATAGTGCAGCATTAAGGCAAGAGATGGTTAACTTTACACAGAGAACGCTGAGGATTAAACACTCATCTAATGTGGCTCCCAGTGGTATGTAGCTGGGGGCCAGGGAGAGGTAGGCATCCTGGAAGCCATGGAAGGTCATTTTGGGTGACAAAAACAATGAATAGTTCATGCTATTCATGCTAGAAATGATGTGGTCCTCCCCCTTCCCCTCTTTCTCTCCCTTGGGCTGAATAATCACACTAGTGTAACACTGCCTGCTTGCTTATTTGCTTTAGGATATTGGACTGGCTTCTCTTGGATCATCTGAAGCGGAGATTGAGAAACTGGCCACAGTAAGTACAGATGGCAGTTTAATATCGGAGGCAAACCCCAAACGATTCACTGCATATCCCTTACTGTGCAGGGAAGGCTCTTCTCCAGTATCTCAGATTAGCTACGAAAATGGAAGCATCAGCAGGATTGTCTCTTCTCCTTATCCACAGGTTAAGGAGGTGCTGAAGCAGGGGCTGGAGTCCATCTGGGGGAGCCCAGAAGCATGTGATTCCACCTGAGGAAATGCTTATACTTTTTGCTTCTATAAGGATATATTGCTGAAGCTGAGTTTCTACAATTTCAGCCACAGGAGGGTCCCAACTCAATTTCTAGATTCACCTAATAAACTGGATACCCAATGTGATTTCTGCATTTTCTCCTACACAAGGTGCAGGGAACCATCAGAATTTCATTCACCCTGTATTCACTAATCTCACAAAATAGGTGAGCACTTAAAAGCAATTTGAGAGCAGGTACTATCATTTGGTTCTGAGTCACTAGGCTGTATACATCTACCAAAACAACTCATGCAGCCCCTTGCTACCATCTTAACCTGTTCTGAAAGAGGGCTGGAGGCCAGGTGATTTTTTTTCTGATAATGACAGCCGTTTCCCAGTCTTGATGATTTTTTCCAGGGGAGGAGAGGAGCCTTACCCTCCCCCAGCTGGGTGAGGCTCATTCAGGAAAGAGGGTGGATGGGAGGAGACTATCACTCCTGAAATTCCTCACCCAGCCCACAGCCCCACTCATGGTGAAGTGGAATGAGGCACTGTGTGAAGGACTAGGTAAGACTAGCAGTATTTTTAGAGTTCGGAGAGCAAAAGGTACCAGTGCAATTTTTCACAGCATCATACAGGTCCTGGGCTGGTGATGTGAAGGGACTATGTAGGAAGAGGCAGTGACATGTCCACGTTTCCTCTGCAGTTTCCCCTCTCTGGGTCTAGAGAGGCTAGAGGAAGATTAAGATTTATGCCTTTGCTGGGGTTAAAAGAACTATGGGTCCTGGAGAGCCATTTTGCATCGTTACTCAGGTCTTGGTGAGACCGGGTGAAAGTCAGTGGCTTACACAGCATTCCTCTGCAAGCACCCCTCCTGGCCCTGGACTGGCTAGGACTAGATTGGAGATAGGGTTAAGGTCAGAAGCATGATGGGTCTCATATCTGAAATTGTCATAGTATCATCTAGGGTTTGGGGAGGTAGAACAAGGGCACCTTTTTGAAAGGTCTACCTGCAGTTCAGGATCTGTGAGAATACAATTTTGTAAGTGCCATTCAAGTGTTCTGAACAGTAAAAATATTCTGGATTAACATCTCAATCTTCAATTCTCTAAAAGTTAGACATCTCATCTAGGCTTATTGTTTAGGTTCCTTCTTTAGAAAGAGAAGATAAAGATGAACCTGTAACGTATTCGCTATTCTGACATAGATGTCTGACATAAATTCTTGTTTCTCTCTGGACATCCTTGTCACTCTCTGTTCATTATAAAGAGAATGTAGGTAACTAGCTTAGATGACACAACAATATTTAAGCTAACTAGAAGTTTATTTAAAGAATCGCAACTTTGCTTGTTTCTATGGTCTATAATATTTGTAAGACAAACTTTGAAATGCCGTTATTTCATTCAGTCCCTGGACTTCTCAAAGCAGGTGGATCCATGCACAAAAGATGGGAAATTGCCAGAGTTCATGTCATCCACAGAATACCACTAGTACTGTGTCTTGTACCCTGTTAAAACAGTGAGAGCCGAAAGAACCTCTCTAACTAAAAGCCAAATACAGGATATCTAAGGAAACACTAAAAAGAATTCCTCTTCCTCCCATGTCTCATTCTCCAGTCAAAAAGACCTTCTGCAAAATGAGGAGATATTCAAAATACTTTTTCACTGTGAAATAATAAGAATCAAGATTATTAACACAATAAGAATGTAGAATTATTAGTTGAACTGTAAAGAAAGCAGCTCAGGATTCTGGCATACTGTTTCCTTAGCGGTAAATTCGCAGGCTAAAACCAAGTCATCAAATTATAAGACATGTGGAAGAGGGTGGGAGAAAGAAAGAGAAAGAAAATAAGAGGCAGAATAGACAGAACAACATAGAGATTCACATCATTTTACGAACTGCCTGCAGTTCTTTGAGAAGGGTGCTGAGAATGCAATACTTACGGCTAAACTGAAGCCAAGTTCCAGCCCTGTGTATGAGGTAGCAAAGAGCTATGTGTCCCTAAAGGAACCTTGAAGAGTTGTGACACAAAGCCATATTCTTGAAATGCCTCATGTTTTCCATGTTTTTCTTTTGCACAACACCTATCCAGCTGCTCAGAGGTCAGGCTGTGTCCAGAATTGTTCTTCCACTGTCCATTTTCTTAGACGCTATAATAAGGGAAGGGCTAACAGGTAGGCAGAGCCAACAGTTGCTTTTGTCCCACTACTGTCCAGCAGGTAAAGGCAGTATGGTCCTAAGCATGCTTTATTGCAAGAACAGCCCAGAGAGATGTGTCTTTATTTTCTACTGGAGCATGATAAAGATGTAATTGGCATAATCTTAAAGGCCACATTGCTGTTAAGCGATAAGTCATTCTTCAGTTCTCCTGAATACTATCACACAGACAAAGGAGAAGGGAAACTGTCCTTTCAAGTACCTTTCCTAGGGTCTTGAACCGTCTATGGGGGTCTACCTGTCCTTCTGGGGACTATGGGTTGAAATCTGTCAGCTTCCACTGACTATAACGAAGCTCAGGGTTAAGAGGGTGCAGAGTAGTTTGTAAGATCCTCCAAAGAAAGAAGGGGATAGGACTTTATGACTTTATTTACCAATGTAATTATCATTAGCAATTTTTTTTTTTTTTGGGGGGGGGAGTGAGAATGGGAAGGATGGCAAGTTTTGAAAAAACATGTTATAATTTGTGTGTTATGTATGTTGAGAGAAAAATAATTTTCTTAAAATATACAACTATAAAATTTGAAGATACAAAGACACTAAGGAATAAGGATAAAAGAAAATTAAAGGAAAAATAAGAAACTTAAAAATGAACTGCCTGTTGAGACTGTTTTTCACAAGTTTTTCTTATTACCAGCTTTATTGGTTCACTGTGGAGTTTGGTCTCTGCAAGCAAAACAGATCAATCAAAGCTTACGGGGCAGGACTGCTTTCGTCTTATGGGGAGCTTATGGTATGTGTCAAACGTATGGTATTGAAAGATTTCTATAATCCAGTTTTCTGAACTCTCTGGTAAAAGCAAAGTATTGTTTCCTCACATAAAACAGTATGATTTAAAATACGGATTTTTCTTTTGCAAAGAAATTCATTCTCCCTTCCCCGAAGCTACCGAGTAGGGGAAAAACTACTGTGGGATTGTATCTGTCTTCCACTTAAAGAGATGAAATTCGATTAAAACAACCATCTTATAAAGCATTAGATTTGCTTCTTACAGCTCCTGGCCAGTAGTAATACAGCTGACTTCAACATAAAACTCATGTACCTTTCTGAACTACTCACTAGAGGGCAATATTATGCCTATTATGAACTCTGCTACTTTGTCCATGCCATTGCCATTCATGCACATATGAATCAGAAAGGCACTGACTGGACCAAATAAAGTGCGAAGAAAATGTGAATAGCATGGATACTGACAAAAAGAAAATGCTTTATTATTTTACATTCCTAAATACGTTTCAGAACTAATCCCAGCTTGTAGGTAGATGAAAATCTGCGTACACAGGTTTGATACTGCCTGCCTGGACAGATTAACTGTGGAAAGAGGGACTGTACACCTTTCCAGAAAGCTTATGGGTTTCCCCCTCCTTTGGACAAACAGCTGATAGGGGAGATATTAATTTCTCCTCAGTTTCACAGAGCACTGGAGCAGATGATCTGTTTCTAACTGCAAAAGCCCTAAACTGGTATGAGTAGGTCTCAATTGCTTCAGGTCGTGCAGATACTGGATGATTTTTTTTGAATTAGTAAGAGCCAAAAACCACTCTTTTCAAGCATTTTTATAAACCAGAAATCAATTTTTTCAGGGGAGATATACATAGACACAACAGCCTAACAGCCAGCTACATGATACATTCACATGGAACCATGGCTGGATTAGCACAGCTTGGACTCCCACAACTGGAGATAGTTGTATTGTTATGACAATAAACATATTACAAAACTCTCCTAATGGTATACAGGTCAGTCCGCTTCCCAGTTAATTGACAGAAGGAAGAAACAACATGTTGATATATCTCAAGATATTTATAACAGGCGTCCCAACAGAGGGGCAGTTGAGAGTTAACATATAGAAAGGGGAACCCTCCCAGACATCAACCTTCATTTTACCACCTGCTGAGTTAAGCATTGGTTTTTCTCCCAACGCTGGCAATTTGGAGACATTTGTGAGCAAACTCTGTGGTATATGATTTGCAGAGCTTTCTCTCTTCATAAGCTGAGAGATCTGCATGCTTATTAGCCCTCTAGAGAAACAAACGTGCCTTTCTTTCTACATAACAACCTGATCTTGTGCTGACTGCTCATGAACATGAGCAGAAGTGTGCTAGCACTACCACAGCACTCCGCTGTGAAACGGACAGTGAAGCTGTCTTGTTTTGAACAGCAGATCAGTGAGCTCCCCTATAAATTAGGCTCCAGCGCAATGGATTTACTTTACATGTCTATCTGTTCTAGGATAAGGCTGAAGCTACTGTTTTTCTGAGAATCCTTCAGTACTTGCTATATTCACAGCCAACAAACAGGAAACCTAGGCTTGCTTTTATTTACCTGGTAAAACCAAAAAGATCCAATATCAAAGCACAGTTCAAGGCAACATTAATTCTACTCTGCCTGCCTGAATACTTTGTAGTTTTAAATCAAATGCATTTACATGTTAAACAGGATACTAAAGGGCAGAGGTAATTGTGTCTCCGATACTTACGTAGCTTTCACAGTACTATGCACCACAGAATCTATCTGCATGATGTTACCTCCTTTTTCTGTTTAATTTGAACACCGATGAAAGTAAAAGTTGCATCAGAAATGCTCACTTTTGGTGACTGGAGTTGAGCGGGTTCTATGCACTTCACTTTGAGCATCTGAAACTTCTTGTACACAAATTAATTATATCCATGCCCTTAAGTGCTGAAGTTTCCTTTTATGGCTGACTGATTCATCTCACAGATTTTTATTTGGAACAAAACTGAAATACAGAAATGTTTCCATTTAATCATTCTGCATAAACATCTGATTCTAACTTCAGTATAGACAGTGGCAGTGGGAGTAAAGTGCTGAGGTCCTATGCCTAAGCACCTGCTAGCAACTTGAACATGTATACCAACTGTTTCTTTTACAGCTGAAGAGAAGAAATATGTGTAGTGCAGTGCCTATTTCGTAGAAGGGATTTTTTTAGAAATACAGCAGTGGCTAGGCAGTTTTGTTAGAGAAGATCAAGATTGGAAGATAGTGAGGCTCATGATAGCCTTCAGTTTATTGCAAAGCTAATTTTGCAGTCTTAGACTGGCTCTTGAGAAGCTCTAGATAAGTTTTGCTACTGTTTGGGAGAAAGCCATTGTCCATCCTGATAAATATTTGCCAGTCTTCTCAGTATGGGCCCAGACATGGGCCTGTGCATGGAGGCCCCAAACTGAATTCCATATCGTTTAGCTGATGAGCATATTTGGCACAGGCAGACTCACTGCAGCTCACGTGACGGAGGAGACTCACTGTAGCAACCTGCACAAAGGCGGGGTTTCCTCATCACTGAAGGCTTCTGAACCAGGAATAACAGGATGATTTGGTCACTGAAGAGGCAATAAAGGCATGAGTTACTAAGGCTAGGTGGCTGACTACAAGAAGATAACCCCTAACCAGCTGGAGAGGGTGAGCAGCAGTATGCCCAGCTAATGTTATGTGAGAACTTAGCATCAGCAAGGAGCCTGGGAACATCCCTGAACTGCAGCCTGGGCTGACTGTCTGTGGGTGTGTGACTGTAACCCAGGGAACCACATCCTGACTATGAAATCTTCAAAATGTTTTGCTTTTCTCCACAGCACCCACTCTGAGCAGTTTGAACTCAGCTTCAGGTAGTTATTTTCTGTGGATGAGCTGATCCTGCCCAAACTCAAGGCATAAGTTGGGAAAAAGGCAGAGAATGAGAGATAGAGCTAGACGCCCTTTGCATGAGACTTGCACTTGCATCCATGTTATCTAAGAAGTCATTTAGTGACAGCAGCTAGGCATCGGAAGGGACAGGATAACCATACCCAAGTCTAAATTGAACAGTTGTAATGGGTCTGACTGCTGGCCAACCTTGCCTCCTCTGAACTGTAAGAATTCCTCCCCAACAGCTCTTGGTATTGCACTGTTTATTTCACTGTATTCTTTCAGCTGTTCTACATTATCCAAAATGCTTCTCCTGTTAACACTCAGCTGGACTCTGTCCTACATACTGTAAAATCTTACGGCTCATACGACACTTCTGGCAGCACTCAGTGCTACATATGCTTTTCTTGCAGCACAACAAGTACTTAACTTGTAGAGGTCTTTAAGGCCATCCAGTTTCAAGCTGAACTTCCACTGAAATCAATGGGATTTCAGTTCTGCTTCAACACTGACAGCATAGCGGGACCCCTGTCAGGTTTTGAGTTTCTGAAATCTTTTCCCATTAGTCCCCAGAGCTTCTAAGATTATAAGAGCAGCCTCACGTTTGTGTATACCATCCATCTTAGATCGTATGAGTGCTCTCCAAGGTTTATTCTTCAATTACACACTGCAAATGAAGAACAGGAAAACCACCATCTTTTACCATTTTATATTCTTGTTCTTTTTTTCTTGTTTTAAAAGCCCTGTATTAATTTCTGCACCAGGTCTGCAGCAAATTGACCTACCGGTTAAGGCAGGCCTCCAGTGATGGCGAGTTCAGGCTCAGCTCAGAGAAATATCTAAAAATGTGCTTAAGGGTACTGTCTGAATTTTTCCAGTTAGCAGTTTGAGCTGAAAGTCTTGTGCAGCGTCACCCACTCTTACCAGTTATTTACAAGTACCATGGGAGTTGGCATTTGGATCATAAAATAGTGAAGGGAGCCTTCTGAAGACTGGGGAAGAAGAGAGAAAGACAAACAGGCAGATTTCAAAGAAGGGATGGGTACTAAAAGACTGTCCCTAGGTAGATGGGGCTCACTGTCCAGGCTGAAGGTGGAAAGAAGGGTCTCGATGTTGACTGACATGAGTTGCCTTTTTCCTTTTTGTTTGTACCCAGGACACTTCACTGAAGTGGCCATGGCACTCACCAACCTGGCCAACTGGAGGCCAAACCAGCTTTTAGGCACATCTCCGGTGCAGTTCAAATGTCAGTGAAGCTGAGCTAGCTTTAAACTATCTCACTTGGGTTTCAGGGACAGACAAACTGTGCAGGAACTCACTTTAAGCCTGAGCTGCCCTGCCTTCCCAGGACCCTATGCAGGTACTAAACAACCAACACCAATACCTACGCAATCACACTGTCACCATCTCTGCTGCTGGCTGGTTTAATGGTATCTCCAGTATGTGTAAACAAACGATAGATGTGCCTATGGACTGCAGTGTGGACATAAGTGGCTTCCTTAATCCTCCTGTCTGCCTGAGGGGACAATGTAGAAGAACCTGAGAAGAACATATAGAAGAACCTCTGTGGGCCCAAAACACAAACACGCACACACAGAGTATAGTACATATTTATACCTAGGGATTCAGGGAAGCATTTAGGCTGAATGGGAGCTGTGCAGAAAATACCAGGAGTATTCCGTCTGTTCTTCAGTGCAGCAGGAAATGTGAGATTGGTGACATGGGCTGGGGACTTTAAAATAGTGCTGCACAGGACTGTGAATCTTCTACGACACTAGTTGAAAAAAGCAGTATGATATTATTTTTTCTTCTAGATATGCAGATTTTGGGGGGTGGCATAGACTTTCCCCTCCCTGTCTGAGAACGTGGCTATGGTACCCAATTGTACATCACTGTAATACAGGAAATAGATCTTTCTTTTTTTTTCTTTTTTCTTCTTTTTAAAAATTATTTATTATTTGGTTTATTAACTGCTAATTATGAAAAGCAGCTTTCACCTGTGAAAGAACAGGACGTGATACTACCTTTAAAAATTCCGCAAAGAGCATTTCACAGCCCAGTAGGCACTAATTCTTGCTATGTTCATTCACCTGCTCTAACCTGTGTTGTTCCCATTACAAAGTATGCTTTATCAAACAAGCCAGAGTACAAGCCTTTTGATCCAGAAGTGACTGCAGTTCACCCCTATCAGGATCAAGCCTTCCAGCCTGTCTATTTCATAGCAGAAAATTTGGAAGATGCCAAGGTCAAGCTTCAGTAAGTAAAGCCTTTGTGGGTATTTTCAATGAGGGGGGGCATACCGGCTTGAATCCTAATCTCAAATATATCTACCGCTATTGCAATAACCATGCCAGGCTACCTCACTGCGCACTTCATCCGCACAGTGACTTTTTTTGCAACAAAATTAAACGTAAGATTGTTTATCTCAGAAAAGCTTCTTAGAAAATCATAACTATATATTGTTATGCCCTGTCCCATGCTTCATCTTAGCAACGCCTCATTTTAACAACTTCTGAAGTAAATTCTGTAACTGAATAACGAGAGTAGAGTGCAATTCCACAGTTGGGGTGCCTATGTGCTAGTCCACACAATAAGAGGTCATGAAGAACTGATTTACCCAAGGTCACACAGAAATTTTATAGCAGACTCAGGAATTAACATGGATCAGCAGGGGGCTTAAAAACAAGATTGCCTTTCTCCTCTAATTATATCTGCAAGAATGCAGAATCAGCATTCACAGGCAATCTAATTTCTACAAAGTAGCTGACTGCAACCTCAATAACATTATTTCAAATTAGCTTGAGGTGTTTCTAAATGCATTTCTTTGACTGTGTTATGTTATGCAGTAAGGATTTAAAAAAAAAAAAAAAAATTAAAGTAAGCAGGGTTTAAATTCTGGCCTTCATCTCCAACAGTTAGAACAACATGACCAATTCTGGCTAGAGGCAGGAGGCTTGTTGTGGAGCTACTGGGGAGCATGTAGGAGCTGAAATGAGGGATTTATTAGAGGAAGAGAACCTGTTTCTCTTCCCCAGAAGCACTGTCTGCTGGGGTTATAGCAATGACAAATTAGGCCCCTCATCTTAAATCTGAAGGTTCACATTAAATTATTAATGTTTGTAAAAATGTGGCTGAGAACTCACTGGCAGAAGAGAGAGGATGTTCAAGAGCATTTGATTCAGGCAAACCCGAAAAGAACTTAAAAGGACAAGTAATACACCATTCTCAGACTTGAAGTTTTTCATACATTTTTTCAAGATAGTTGCACAGCCAAAGCTGCTCAAAATAACTGAAAGCACAAGAATCTGTCAGAATGGAAAACATAAGGCAATATCAGTACAGGGGGTTCCTTACCAGCATGTACTTAATGGAAACATTGTCGAAAATGGCAAGCAGTCATGTTTTTTTCTTTTAATAGAGACAGCAAAATAGCCCAGGATGCCTAGTATCAACAAGTTTTTAGAATTTTACACGGAAAGAGCTACTCCAGGTTATTTCTTAGAAGTGAAGGTGGCAGACATGCTGTGTTCTTGCATTCCTCAGCTTGTGGTTGTAATAACTCTGAATTGTGTTAACGTAGAGCTGTAAGAGCACAGACGGGTCTGAGCCAGCAACGCTGAAAAGCAGGCACTGCAGATCTTTTGGGCTGCAAGTAGTTCAGCCGTGGGGAGGATGTAGTGCACCAGACAACATTAAGGAGTAACAGTGAGGAGGTGTCACAGCAGCCTCTGCTTCCCTATAAGTCCATGCCTACATACTGAGAAATTAAGTCCTGCAGGTTTTACACTTAGGGAAATGGCTTCTGAACTAGCAGCTCTGTCTTCTTCCCCCACAGAAACTACGCGATGAAGATCAAGAAGCCTTTTTCTCTGCACTACAACCCGTTCACCAGCAGCATAGAGGTTATGAACACACCTCAGAAAGTCAAGAGGGCACTCCGTCAAATGAAAGAGGAACTGAAAAACCTCTGCTTGGCCCTTGAAAACCTCTCTTAAAACTACAGCAGTACATCTTACCTGGCACTGAGATACTTATAGACAGTTCCAGCACTTGAAGATTTAGTGATGAAGTTGTAGTTGCATGCAAAAATCTTTAACCCACAAAACAGCTCTGTCAAGCTAATCTTTTCACTGTAATTTAGGCTGCTGACTTAGCCACATTAATGAGTTCCTATTGAGTATGTTTCAATGATAAACAAGGCCAAATTACTCCCATTTTTGGTAGGTGATATGAGCTACAGATGTTTAAAGTGTATTTATATGTTATTATTCGACTCTTACAGTTTGCTTTATTCACCTACCACCTTTTCAAGTTACCTGTCACAAAATAGCACAGTAACTTTTCAGCCACACAGTCTTTTAGTTGCTGCTTAAATGACATGATCACAATCTTTTAGGTTGGCTAGCTGCCTACAGTTCGCGTAGCAGCTAACTTGCAGCTAGCTCATTTCTGCTAGTAATTACTATGAGCTATTGTGCTCACAAACTATGAACAATGTGCAAAAGCAAGAGTTTGTAAGAGGAACCCTTTACTTCTGCTCACTATTTATTTTTAGGCACTCATCTCATTCAGTAGCCTTCAAATATGGCAAAATAATTTCCTGTCATATTTGAGATCACAGAATATTTGCCCATTGACTAAAAAAAAACCAGAAAATGATAGGCCTATGATACTCTGGCTCTGTCACATACAAGGATGCTTAATTTGAAAGGGAAATTTGGATTCTGGGAAGGCAATTTGGGTATAAGGAAGGATTTTCAAAGAAACCTTTAAGAAATAGAGTCCCATGGGTTTTTCATGGGATTCAGATACTCCTGGAGACCTTTAAAAATCTTTGTTTCTTGTTGATGTCATGATGATTGTAGTAATAACCAAAAGGCTAAATCTACGGAACATCTAGTAGATGTTCCATATAGCAGCCATATAGCCTTGCTATGGAAACAATATCAGATACATGCTCCAACTCATCTTGCCTCCCTCTCCAGTCCCTCTCTGAGATGTGTCTGAAGTTTGTCTATTGTCCGCAGGTCATGTTTCCCAGAATCAATCCCATAATTGCCTTTTCCAGACTTTCATGCTCTTCGTGTCCCCTTCCTTCCTCCACCATCCACAAGCAGACACTAGTTCAGGAAAAGAAGACAAGGTTCATGCCTAGAAGGATTCCCTCTCCTCTTAGCAGCAGTGCAAGCAGGCAGGGTTGGTGCAGGTTACAGGTGTGGCATCAGCAGGGGCAATGTGGATCTCATGACTCAAGCTGTCATCCACAAATGTCAAGGTAGATTTATCCTACACAGCTTAGAAGCTCTAGTTATTTTTTCAAAAGTGTATGTCCACGTGCCAGGCTCTAAAGAAACTGTCTTATTGAAAGTTAATGGGATTTTGTCTCTTAAATCTTCATGTCTATAAGCACTTTGGAAAATTTTCCCATGGGCAGTAATAGAGTATTCAAGATCTAGGGAGCTGCTGCAACTGCTCCATTTTATTAAAATGTGGTGATGCCTGAAAAATTTGGAAATATCTTGGCAAAAATGGCTATGAGACCCCTTCCTCTCAACAGCAGGAACATCCCAAGTTTTTTCTTTTTTTCATTTAAGTCCAGGATTCTTCTATTCTACTCCAGGAGAACACTTGCATATCATAAACCTTATTTTGCTAGAAATTCAGACAGGGAGAGAGCTGAAGTGAGTTCCTTTGCTTCCAGTATATTTCTGCTGCGATGGAGGATGATCTCTCAGCATACTTTTACAGATTTACTTCTACTTATCCTGCTGGTACACACACACACAAATACCATTTCCCTTCAGAGCAATTTGTTTTGTTACATATTGTAATAATTTATCTGTCTACTTCCTGCCAATTGGTGCATAGGCAAAAATGCTTGATAGCTCACAACAGATTGTTTTCAGAAGTATTATTTCCATCAACCAGTTGTTTTACAGTGAAAATTGAACCATGAGCTCCAGTTTTGTGTGTTTTCTTTTTCTCTCTTTTGAAGTGGAAGATAATGCCAGAGCGGAAGAGCTATCAAAATATTTTCTATACATGGACTCTGTAGGCCATAGGGTCTTTTTCATGTATTCCCTCTGAAATGGTTGAATGTGGAGTTTAGGCTTGAGTTTGGCTATTGCTCAAAACAGACCTATATTTGGAAGAAATGAGAGACCTGATGGATTTGTTTTGCCCAAGGCCTCACACTTTCCTTGGAAGGACTCCAGGCCCGCCCACACACCCTTGTCTTTTCCAGTTCCTGTAGCAAGAAGAGAAAAAGAAACCATTTGGAGCCAGATTCTCCCACCCTTACACATGCTGAGTAGTACCTGATCTCTCGAGCAATCCCAGTGACAGTACCAAGCCTATTTAAGGTTCTGTACACAGACAATAACAGCAGGATTATGAAGACCTCTATGGGTGTACTTGCTTTTTTATTGTCTTAATGACAGTCAGCCGACATACACATCTAGGGTAGGCTACAATGAGGCTTAGCAAAGCTTCAAAAGTAATGAATTTGGCTACTTGAACTTTTAAGAAGCATAAATATTTTGCCAAAGGAGGCAAATCTGTCCCTCCTTATTCAGGCAAAACTTACGCAGGACAGCCATGTTTGACACTCCCCTCTAAGGAGGTCCAAATTCTTCTCTTCTGATTCAGTGTAGTGACAAAGCAAAAGCCTTCAGGGTTACATCCTTATGAGGTACACTGGTCATGCTGCTCTTCCAATAGTCATTCTTTCATTTCCTCACAGAAGCCAAGAAGTACCTCATACTCCTGTCAGTCTAAGGCAGGGGTGAAGGGGAAGGCAGTGATGGGGCCTCCCGATGAAAATAATGGCACAGAGGAAAAAGCACCAACCAGTAAAAATATGTCTTTTTGTCAGTTTGCATTTCAGCAGTTTCACATTAATCTTGCACAAGAAGGCTCCAAAGCCAAGTAAAACACATCTTGTGACTTGAAACTGAACTGATGAACTCCCCATGGGTCCTTTGCTTATCCCGATAAACTTATTTTTCCTAGATGGAGTGCATTTAGAACAAAATAGTGTATGTTATTAAATCTGTATTGTGTTGTTCTGTTATACATGGGAGAGTTAGTAAATTCAGTTTGTGGGTTTGGGTTTGTTTTGTTTTTTGGCTAACCAAGTCTGTCCTCTACCAATTTTGGTCCACCTTCAAGCCTCCAGCTGCCTCACTGCTTCCCTGCAGATTTACTAGGGATGCCAAGGGTACCACTGTGTAAGGAGAATACACAGTTATGCAATTTGGGGAATTTGGCAGGACAGGAAGGGGAAATTTAGGCAGGCCTCCCACCCACTCCCATGAGAAATAGTATTGTATTACAAGGCAGAGCTGTCACCCTCAGAAAGACCTTCTCAATCACTTCCCTCTGGTTCCCTTAACATTTCGACCTTTATACTACCTGGTGAACGTAAACCTTACTTAACCAATTAAAGAAATACCAGAGGGGAAAAAAAAAAACCTTCCACGAAAGGAAACTTCATTTCATTACACTCAGTGTTCCTTGTCTTTGCTGATCCATGAAGGAAGAAGCAAACAAAAAAAGGCAAACTTCCATGGAAATGATAGTGTATTCCTGAAGAGACCTAAAACATGAAATTGGTCCGTGTACAACTACTACACACATGGAGATCACCTTACACCTATCACTGAAATGTCATAACTTACCCAGTAAATCATGACCATCAATTAACCACGCACCGAAGTGTTATATGACTGCTTGAGGCTGGAAATGAAGCTCCAGGAAAAACCCTCTGGTAGCTTTGCTTTACACACATACTGCAAAAACAGAAGGTTCTCTGGAGCCTGCTTCTGTAGATATCCTACAGCATGGAGAAATTCCAGCTGGCAAAGAAACAGAAGGGTATATACATACATCGCTAGTAATCTCACCCACCACTAATCAGGAGTTTATACGTGGGCTTTGAGATTCAGTTAGAGGACATTACTTCACAGCATTCTTCAGCTGGCGCATGATCAGAGATTGGCAGAAAGGGTTACTGGCTGTATCGTATTAAATATACATTAACTTTGGGTAACACTGGTGGCTGAGGCCCAAAGTGAAAGCAAATCTCTGGCAGTCTCTCCCACCACAGGAATTCCTCAGGGGAAAGAAAGTCAGACTAGAAAAGAAGTCTGGCTGACAACTGGCAGAGCAAAGGGACAAGGAATGGAAAGGACCAGTAGATAGGCCTAAAACATGTTTGTTTTGCATATGCTGTTTCATTATATTTGAGAAATATTTCCGTTTGAAAGGGAGCTTTTTAGCATACAGGAGGAAAGTTCGTACCTGTAAGAGTGTAGAGGAGTCAAGGTCAGTTAAGACTTTTTAACTGTGCCTGAGTAGTGTTAGCCTTATCTGAGGCATTTACTTTCAGCATGGGGTACAAAGATTGGAAAGTAGAAAGAGGTCTTTGGGAAAAGAAAGCTGAAGCTGACCAGGCCTTGCTGCCCTGCAAGACACAAGAGTCCTAAATCTTAAGTGAAGGCTACCCTAGGCGGGGAGAGCAAGCAGCTGGCCAAGCACTGCCCCTCCAGCAGAAAACTGAAATTATTATTGCTACAGCTGTATGCTAGGTGCTGTCTTTTACTCTGCTTAACTGTTTTCTTTTTTTCCCTTTATTTAAAATGTTATTTATTGATCCCTTTGACTTGTGTTTGCAAATGGGGAAAATTAGCTCACTGAACTTGAGAAAGTTCAAAATTATTTTCCCAGGGTTTTAGGTGGAAGTTGAGCAACAAATGGACCCTCTTAAGCTTAAACCTGGCTCTTGCCGAAGGCAATTAAGACCTGGCAAAATGGTTACATTTAGGTAAAAGAGGTGACGGCTGCCAGTTGATGTATCCAAACCAATTCTCAAACCATCCACAACCAGTAGCGTTAGTCTTCAAGGTACACCTTTCACAAAATTACCCATGATTGATTTAAACATAAACTACTAAATATAAACCAGCACATAACACCTGTCAGGTAGAATAACTAG